GATAAACACTATACAATTTCATATTTCTTTAACAAACTTATTTTTGTCATTCTCTTAAAGAAATATATTGAACCGGCATTTTTATAACCATTTTCCAGATTATTCCACAATCTTATTCCTTGAACAGAAAAGTACATCGATCCTTCAAGTTTGTTCGAATTTTAGGTTTCAGAAACATCTCAAGTCCTTTAAGATGATAAGAATTTCTCTCTTAACAAAATATAACTGGATGTTTAAATGTATTTTTTTCATGAGCCTTATACATAATCTGCAAGATAATATCATAAGGAAGACATTTTAGTAAAGCTAAACTTCAAACTCTGCAGCACAAAAAGCTTGCAAGCATCTAAAAATGTCTCCAAACCCTAAAATAAACCAGCAGATGGCGCTAAACATTCAGCAAGCTTCATTCAGTCTCTGTCTTTGAACAAGTTCAGCACTTGGACTTGATTAGGAGCTTTAAAAAAAACAGACCTCACACTGACCATAAACCATTAGTATTTCAATAAAATGATGCACTTTTATTCTGGTTGAACTCACACCTTTTAGAAACAAAGTCATCTTAACATCAATGTATAAAAACACAGCTTTCTTCTTTTTTTAATTTTGTTTTTTTTTGCAGTGTAGAAACCATCTTGGTTTAATGTAATACCAAAAAGGGAGCTGAAGCAGATTTAGTAACAAGATGACTCCYAGCGTGCCTCCGTGCTTTATAAGGCCTTTGTTGTGCCATCAATGTGACCCGTGGATGAAAGATCTGTGTTTCTCAAGAGTTACTGTAAGGACACGATAAACCTCAGGGATTTACCCTCTCTCCTGAGCTTCACAATAAATCCACTCTTCTAAGCGGCACCACACGGGATCACTAAGAATACCGTCAGCACCACAACCCTCCGAGTGCATTTATAGGCCGGCAGGTACAGATTTAACCTCTCGAGGCGCACACACTAAATGTCTTGTAATTCTTGTACGATTGCCAACCCTGTTATTTGAAAGAGCAGATCAATTCTCAGCATCTRGGTTTATTYATCTATTTATTTTTGCACTTCACATTTCCAAAATGCTTTCAGGGATCTAAGGTCTAAAAATAAGCAGCACAAAGTCAGACAGGTTATTAAAGGCTGACGGGGATTAGAAAGTGCGAATCGTCTGTGTTTCTCAGCAAAGCTAAATGTTTGACTGCGGCTGTCAGAATCTCATTCATTACGACCACGTTAAAGTGCTCGACTTGTGTTTTCTTTCTGCYATCTCTCAGACGCCTCACAGACCAGACTCCCGCAGAGCCCCCAGCACCACCTGTGCTGTGGACTCATCTGCAGAGCTCCTGTCGGCTCTGAGCCCAGAGGAGAGGGAGCTGCTGGGGGCCATCACTGCTCGAGGCTACCCTCTCCACACTGCTATCATCGCTCTGCAGAGGACAGGGCAGCAGACTCCGGATCAGGTCAGAGTCAGATCCAACAAAGCTCAGGCTGCAGGAGATACCACCGTTGTTTTAGTCGCCACAGCAGCCAAAATCTTTTCACAACCCTGTATATGTACTGTTAATAACATTAGTGGTTTTTGTCCGACTTAACTGCATTTCTCTTTTTTTTATTATTATCACTGCTGAGAGTTTAAACAAAAGAATAGATGATTCAAAAATAGYAATAAAACCACGGGGCTGAGCTGTGGGTGGGCCTGTGGCTGAAACACAAATACAGAACACTGAGCTGGTTTAAGCCGAAGTAAAAATAGAGCACAGACTTCCACARCTCCATCTGTATTGTGTGTTTTCCCATGACATGAACTCCCCTCTGCTCAGAGCAGAAAAACTCAAACAGCAGGATGAACATGATGGGAAAAAAGTAACAGAAGAAAAAGTTACATCTACGAACAAGAGTAACAGATCTATCATAACATACTGTAACCATTAAAGTTGTTACATTTCAGTGTTTTTAAGCAGCTGCGTTAACACATGCTGATATCTGTGCAAAAAAAAAAAAAACGTAAGTTGCACTTTGTCAGCTAGACTACTGATTTACAGAGTGTGTTATTGTGAGAGTGTGTCGTTGTTCTGGAAACTGTGGTGTCACCATGTCTCACACAGATTGTGTTTCAGAGAAAAAGGCTTCAGCTCCTCAGCTCAGTCAGATACTCACAGAAGACACCAGGCAGGCTGAAGAGATGTTCAGTCAGGGAAAAAAAACAAAACAAAACTGAATGAAGTGAACTAAATGAAGTACAAGAAATGAGTATATGAAATAATCAGCTTGTTTCCCTTTATGCTATAAAAATTGCCCAAAGATTTAAACCATTAAAGAAAGTGTTGCTCAGATGGGGTCAAGAACCGAGTTTGTGCTTCAGGGTAATAACTCTGTTTCTTACAGTTAAAACTAAATATTAAAACGTCCATAGATTGTACAAGTAAATGATCAGCAGATTAATATATAATACATTCAAATTGATCCCTAGTTTCAGCCTACAGACCACGTTTTGCATAAGGAAGTGTAATTTCATAAAATCTGGTCTAACGACAGAGCAGTGAAGAGATTGCCTCGTTGGGTTGTTAGCTTTGTTTTCTCAAATCACCAGTAGGAAGAAACAGATGTCATGGGACCCCCGTTAACGAATCTGTTTCTCTGTCTGCAGATTTTGAGTTACCTGGTGGCCTGTGACCACCTGTGTCAGCTGGGTTACGACATGGCTCAAGTAGAAGAAGCACTGGAGATGTTTCAAAACTGCGAGACAAAGGTAAGGCATGTAAAAACAAAAAACAAACAAAAAAAAAAACACGCGCAGGTCTGGAAGTCTCAACACTCTCCCTCTGACGAGGTCAGTTCAATTCCAGGATCTCTGTGTGTTCAGGCCGAGGAGTTCCTGCACCTGCTGAGTCAGTTCAACGAGATGGGCTTCCAGCTGAACGCCATTAAAGAAGTTCTGCTGGTCCACGAAAACCACAGAGAGCGGGCGCTCGAGGAGCTGATGATGCGCGTGGCATGACAAAAATCAGTGGCTGCAGATAACCTGAATYATTTACCCCAGAAACATGTGATAAAAAACATTAATAAATCACATCAAACACTTTTTTATCACTTGAACAAATATGGCAGCATTAAAGTAGAATCCTCATTTTCTTTTTTTTACACATTTGTTTATTTGTAAACTATATTATTGTATTCATGACTTCCTTAAAATAATTTATACCCCTCWTATGTTTTTGGTACAAAATCAATCTGTTTAAACTCTTGTTCTCTAAAGAAATTCTAGCTGTTGTAATACTGTAAATGTGCACGAATTTATCAAGGTTATAAATTAACAAAAAATGTGCTTTGTTACAAAATGTGTATCTGACAACACAAACATTTGACAATTTAACTTCTTGAGGATTGTTCTTTTTAGAATAAATATAGTATAGTAAAAATATTTGTGGCTGTTTTTACATGTGCGTTGCAGTCATGAATTGTTACAAAGATGTTTCATGTTGATGTAAAAATATCATGTGTCCGGTGCAACAACATGCAAATGAAGCCGAAATTCCTCTGCAACATTTAAAACAAGCCAATGGTTGTAAAGCCCAGGACCATAGTTGCATAGTTGCATCCATTTTCATCATTTTAAGTTCAATAGATGAAATATTCAAGATTTTCAACCAATGCAGATGGATTTGTGTGCAATACTCTGAAAAGCAAACAACACATGAGGCTGCACATCAGTGAAATACAGACTGATTAGAAATTACCATGAGCGGAACGAGACCAGTGATATCATGACAAAAATGATGAAACAAGAAAAAATGAAACGAGAAAAAGAAATATTTATCAGTCTCAAATTCACATATTTATTTATTTACTTATTTACTTATTTACTTACTTACTTCTGCTGTTATTTCTTCTTTTTTTCTGGAAGAGACAGAACTAAGATGTACTGTGAATGGATACATGCAGTACAGCAAGGAAACAGGATGGAATTCAGGTTGTAAGCAAGTTACTCCTGTTTGTATTTCCATTGAAAAAAAAACACAAGTGGGTTTAACACACACCTTTCTGGGAACTCCTGGTTCTGCTTCACACACTGTTAAGTACCTGATTAAGATTAGACTTTGAACGTACAAGATTAGCATCAATGCTGATGTTTAAAACATACTAAAATCCATATTACTGCATTCCTTTCTTGTGTTACAGGCTGTTGAACTCTGCTGTCTCAGCAAGGCACACAAACTTTTTTGTACAAATAAACCAGGCATCCTGCAGAAATGCATTACTCTGAACGTTGTGCTGTCTAGCACAATGTGTTCATTTAAACACAAAGTATAACCATCAATGAGCCTTAGCTGCCATACACTGTAAAGAACAATTCTCATACTGCTGTACAGTTCCGGCATCATGTCTCATTACCTCAAGATTTATTGTTTCACATTTTCCAGCAGGAAGCCTTTCACTGTAAAACACAAAAGCTGCAGTTTGAATATATGTGCATACATTTTTAAAATATCCCTTCACACAGGATGACAACCCAGTCCACAAAATCTGCCTGAATAAGGTATTTGTGGGAGGGTCTTACTAAGGTCTACCAGTGAGTATTAAACTCAGTGGGCTTCCCTTTAAGAGTGACCAAACTTGATAGGTCACAGAGAGTTTCAAGCTTCAAAAATACGGTTGCGAGGTTGTCTTGTTCACCATCATGGAGGCATCGTATCAGCGTCTAAAGTGCAACATGGTGACTGTGAATCCATGATGTGGGGCCCATGTATGCATCGGTGTGGCTCAGTCACAGAGGATTTGAGGCAGAACTGTCAACGATAACCTCATGCCTATGCTAACAACCTGGAGTAGACAAGATGCATGCAGCCTCATCCTAACAGTCCAAGAATCATGCTAAGTAAATAAAACAGGATTAGGATGAAGGATGGCATCACAGGAACAGACGTGACAGAAATAATCATCTAGATATACCATGAAGATTGGTTTTACATCGAAGGTGTTGGCACCAAAACAAGTCCATTTGAACGTTTTAAAACTTGGGGTGTAGCAAGGCACACACAGCTTGGCTTGGGAGTAGGAAAGGGGGCTTTAAGGAAAATAGATGTGATATGACAGGTGTAGGTCATGGTGGGGATGTCGTCATGAGTAATTGGATGCAAAAACTTTTGGGAAAACATCAACAGAACTGAACATTCAGATCTTTTAGACCATGTGTTCTAATTATACAGGGTATCAATCTGTTTTCTCCGATTACAGTCAACCTCTGTGATCTAGGCTGAGCTTGTGAGAAAGCAAACATTCATGAAAAGTAGCACTCGTCTCGTGATAAAATACAGAATGTCAGAGATGCATTATTTTGTTCAACTCTAAATTCTGCTTTTTGGCATCAAAATCCACAGATTCTTTGCTTTAGTTTGCCCTTCTTTATAAAATTTCGTCCTTTGAAAATAACCAAAACAAATGAAGAGGAGCGTCTCTTAAAGGTTATCAGAGCACTCTAAGGACAACCTGGAACATTCACTGAGGTTTCTGATCGTTTGTTTTGTTGTCAAATCTGGACAGTTTTCCATGAGAGAAACAGTGGGTTTAGGAAGCCTCATCAGAAACGTGTATATGGATCCAATCCTGCCAAAACCTTCCATCTGACGTTTCACTGTCCACCTGTTTTCTTCCACAGTGTACTCAGTGGTCACATGTCTGCTGAGGGTGAACACAGAGTTCCCTCTGACCACAGCGGTGAACAGAGAGCCCTTGCTGTTTCCGTACTGACCCGACAAAGCCGTCCACTGACCTAAAGTGAGATTGTAGCAGTCCATCACACACAGTAAGAAGTCTTCGCAAGGTCCGTTACGCATCACATACAGGTTATCCTTATGAGCCACCATGTACAGACCATAACTATGCTGACGAATGAGGGTAGTGACCAGAATCCACTGATCTTCTTCAGGTACATACTCATAAATATCTGTGGCCCCCTTTCCTCTCCAGAGACAGATAAAAATCCTGTTCCTGGCTACAGTAGACACTACGGAGGCAGCTGGGCAAGGCAGGGGACAGTCAAAACCCCAGCTCCCCTCAGACACCCTGAAGTGCTCCACAGATGAGAGGACTTTCATGTTGTTTTTCCCTCCCAGAGCGTACAAGCAGCCCTCTAGACCTATCAGTGTGAAGTCGTACCGCAACTGCTGAGGGCCACAGATGGTGGACCAAGAGTTATCGTTTGGGTTATAACAGAATCCAGCCTCCACCACCTTCTTACTCATATCCCGCACCCCTCCGATGATGTACAGCTTGTTGTCGAGAACGGCCACACCTGCCATGGTAGTGCTGGCGCTGGGAGGTAGATGTGTGAGGATCCTCCACTTGTTTTGCTCCTCGTCCAGGTAGCAGACCGTCCTCTGGATGTCGTGCAGCAGCTCAGAGGAGGGAGAGTGGCTGCACACTGCCATGTAGCTGCTTGGGAAAAGTGATTCAATGTATTCTACTAGTTTCCTGGGCAAGGTGTGCACCTCCTCCTTCAATTCAGCGTACATGTCTCTGATGAATAAAGCTGAGTGGTGGGATAGCTCCCACACTCCGTAGGTGGAGGCTGTGTGGTACATGAGCACACAGTTGTCAGAGCTGATAATGCTGATCAAGTGTTTGGTGAGAGCTGAAACCTGGAGGAAAGCTGTGCACTCAATGGCTTCCACAATCTGGTCGCTGTCGAGCACGGGTCGCTCTCCACGGAGCACTTGCAGCAGGACCAGAAATCCCAAAGCTCCGATGGACTGCAGCTGGATCTCCTCCTGGTTGCACTCTCTCATTCCTGACTGGAACAGAGCTCTGAAGTACTCACAGCTTTCAATGACAGTGGCCTTATCAGTTGTGAAAACGCTGCCGTTAATGTTGACCCTCAGTCTGCCTGAGGCTTCACAGCCTCTCGACGAGGAGCAGCTGGACTTCAACACTTCCATGCCACAGTCCTTCATCAGGTCTCCTGGCAGACTCCAAGGTTATTCCAAGAGGAGTTTGATCCAACCAAAACCACAGCGCATGACCTTTTTTTTTTTTTAAATGTGAGAGTATTCAATCTTAGAGCAATCTGTCTCTAGCTGGGTGTCCATTGTGTTTTCACAGCTCTGAGAACAACTTCTAAACATAGCAGCTGCAGCCAGTGTGTCACACAGACCATGTGCATTGTGATGACATGCAGCCAGTGCAGAAAGATGAGCTGGATGATGGCATGGAGGCCGTAAATGTGCGAATAATTCCCTCTGTGTTTGTGCCTGACAGTTTTGGAACAGCTGAAGGTCTGACCTTGAGTGTCAGCTGCAAATGAACAAAACAATGGATTCAGTTCCCTGGGTCAGGATATACTTCAACACTCAGTCTTTTCAGAGGACAGCTAGACTTCTTGAAGCATGTAGGACTTAGTCATTGTTTGTTTTAATGACTGAACCATCTTTAACTGCAAAATGTAAAAGTAAAGTGGAAACAGGGTCTGCACAGTTGTTTAATATGAATCCTGTTTCTTCTTCTGGATTGGGGTCTCATTTATCAAACAAACAAACAAACAAACAAACAAACAAACAAACAAACAAACAAACAAACAAACAAACAAACAAACAAACAAACAAACAAACAAACAAANAAATTCCTATGACAAAACAAACAAACAAACAAACAAACAAACAAACAAACAAACAAACAAACAAACAAACAAACAAACAAACAAACAAACAAACAAACAAACAAACAAAAACCCTGAAGTATGAAATTAAAGTAAAAGTATGACATGTCTAAGATGACATTGAAAGCCTTGAAATCTATTTTTGACCTTTCTGAGTTTAAAAGTTAAACAAAATTGAAAGGAAACAATAGAATGTAAACATAAAACAGGTGGTAAAACAGTAGTTAATGAGGTTTTGCACGATCCCTATGCAGGTGTGGGGTTTAACTGGGTACACCTGTTTTCTCCCACAGACCAAAGATATGCATGTTAGACTATTTGGTTACAGTGGCAGAGCTAGTCGTTTATGCGAGTGGCCAATGCTTTTTCATGGGGCCAAGTACAAATGAACTATTCTGTTTTATGAACCTGGTACCAGGTCAGAGCAATTTTCATAACACATACATTTTTATTTATCGAACTGTCTCAGTCTCTATTTTCTAACATACAGACACACTAATGTTATTAGTGGTTCAGAAAAGTTCTTTTCTTTGACACACTGACAGGGTTTCTAAATGCCAGACAAGACAGCTGCTTCACAGACTCTGTATCTGATTTACTCTAATCAGTGTCACATGCTGTGACTTGTCAATCAACTGGGATGCCCAATCAGGTTCCAAGGGTGTATTTTCTTTGTTGCAGTACATAAGTAATTTTTTAGAAGATTTTTCATTTTGCCAAAAAATTATCATAACTTTAACTTTTATTTTGTTACATTCAAAACATAAATATTACATTTTCACTTCTATGCTTTACATTTTAACACCTTACAGATTTAAATGTGATGAACTCATCATTCTTCACCAGGAAAAAAAGTTGTTTATGCACTCTAAAAAATTAAGTGTGGAGTTTACTTAATGACTTTTTCCATTTCGCCTAGTAGAATAAGTTAGATACAGTATTTTCTTTAAAAGAAAATGCGTAACTTGCTCAGTTTACTCATCTGGAGCCAGTTTGGTTTAGTACATTTTAACACTTCATTTTTTAGAGTGTGGAAAAGTACTTTTACTTGCCTGCTTATTGTGCGCAGTTTTATGACTTTTACTTAAGTACTTTTCTTCTCAGTGAAATTCGTTTTTACCAAAGTCATTTTCTGCTAAGGTATTTTCACTTTTACTTATTTATTTCATGTATTTAATATACCTCTGTCAGGTTCTCAGGGTGGCAAGTATCACCCTCGCCACCCGCCTGGCCCTGCCCCTGATTTGTAACTAAATTGCCCCTGGTTGTAAGTGAGATTGTGTCTCTATGTGGCTCTGTGATGCACTTGCAACATGTCCAGGGTGTACCCCGCCTCTCACACACTGACTGCTTGACAAAGGCAGCAGCTCTCTGTGACCCGGGGAAGAAAAAGTGGGCAAAGAAAATGGATGAGTGGACGAGAAATTAATTGGAAAATCCTTTCAATCTCCAGGTTGTGAAGCAATAAAACATGAGCGAATATTTTTGCCACACTACAAAGTTTGATCTGCAGTATATACATGTATGGAAAGATTTAGTGTGTCATTTATCAAGCTAATTTACAAATAAACCTCATCAAAACAACATGGCAGAACTCTCTGGATTCATCCTGTTTTTATGCATTTCAAGTTAAAACAAAATACAATGCTAACAACATATTTTTTCTCATGTTGATAATTAAAAGTAAAATATAGTTTTGTGTGTAATTAGAATGGGGGCTTTAAAGATTTACAGAAGATGTCCTCCAGTGCATCTGCATCTGTTCCTGTGCGGAGGGAAAACAAACTCAGCTACAAAAATGTGAACAGAAGGATGTTTGAGGCCTCTCATGAGTAACATTATACTAACATCCAGCTGTACAAATCTCCTCTAAGTCTAAATAACCTCTGTGCAGTGAGTCATCAGACATCTTCATTTACTTTAGTCCAGCTTTTGCTGGATCTGTTTGAAGTCTTTTTTTTTTTTTTGCCTAAAATGGAGAGATGGGTGCATTAGCTGCACACGACACTACTTCTCCTGGACTGGGAGCAGCAGATTCACAGTGGGTCTGGAGTCACATCAGTCCTCCCTTCCTATTAAGTTTTGTTTTTCTTTGCAAAGAGAAGATGTATTTTTCAGTCCTGGCTGTTCTGTGTGGACATTTAAACACTTTATTTTTATCAGCTCTCTTCGAGGACAACTACTGGAAATAAAAAAAAAAGTCTGACTCTAACCATGTCAGTGATGTTTGGAAAGGCGAAGTCGTGTCCTGAATGTAACCTGGTGCTGCTCGGTGCCATGGGCTGCGGGAAATCAGGTCAGATTTTTAAATCTTCATTGGATAACAGTAGAATCTGCATTTTTGTTCTTGGAAATGACTTCTTTTGCTGGAAATGAAATCACAAGTCTGCGCAGTCTGCATCATAATTGTTTTTGCTATTTTTAGTAACCCAGTATTAATTATTGTGTTTGATTCAAACAACAAGAGTAATAACGTTGAAATTAAAGCTTTTTAATGAGAGTTCGCCTCATCGGATAAACAGTTCCATAAATCCTGAGAGTAAATGTGTTTATTTATGTAGCAATGATTTTTCTCAGGACTCTGACTGCCCCCCCCCCCCCCTCAATCCCCTGAGGCTCCGCAGCCACTCTCACACACTTTTTTGATGTCTATTTTACAGCACTCACAGTGAAATTTCTCACAAAACGGTTCATCAGTGAATACGACCCTTATCTAGGTAAGCCTCCTTTTTTATAATTATAATAATAAAAAACAACAGAAAATGAGTAAAGTTGATTTTCATTTACACATGTGTTGTCTCTACAGCCTAATTAGTCTAACCAGAAGTGAGAATTCTACTAAAAATAATCTATTTAATTAAATATGCCCTTACTGTGATGATTTTTTTTTTTTACCAAAGGACATTAAAATGAAATAAAAAATGTAATAACAAAACAAGACTTGTCTGTAGATTACATTTAAAATGTTTGTGGAATATAATTGATCATTTTAGTCCAAACCGTCCAGTCAGTGTCCAATAACAAATGTCACAATGCAGCTGATGTAAAGACTCTTTTAAGTTGCCTTTATTTTGATTACAGCTCTGTCTCRTCACAATATTTGCTCACATAAAGCAACATAAACATGACATTTTAAAATGTGCAATGTTTGTTCATACTTTAACCTTTCCCATATTTGTGTTAAAATGTTATTTGAAATCGGCCCAGTCAGTGTGCTTCCTGCAGTGGACAGTGTCTGTCATCAGGTGCCATCCAAAGCTGTAGGTTTGGGTTGTAAAACATTGATTAGGGAGTTCTGAGATTAGACTCACAAATCAATTTTAAATTTACAACAGCTACTCAGATTATAATTTTATTGACAAGAGGCAAAGGAAGTAGTCATAAATGAAATAAAAACAGTTTATTTTTTGGTTTAATTGGCTCATTAGCTATGTTTGTGTACGTCAGCCAGCGTTAGTCAGGTCAAAGGTCTGTGTCGCAGTTAATTTGTGGTTCAGAAAAAAAAAAAACGGGTTAGGAAACCCTTAAACTAAAAGGTCAGCTGTCCGTCTGAGTTCTCAGGGCTGGGATGTTTCCAAAAACCAACATGGAAACTTCTAAAAGTGTTCCTGCTTTCCGCTGCTAAAACCATTTCCCCACTATTATGCACTTAAAAGTAAGCTTATAATTGTCTTAAATTATGATGTAATTAGTAAAAATACCTACACAATATGTGGGCTGTTGTAAATTTAATGATCTCTTAAAAATAAGTTTTCTGTATCAGATTAAATATATTTTATTTAATATTTGTCAGTCACATTTTCTGTTGGTAGATTATTTAAAAGTGTGAGAACTATTTTACATTCACTGCAGAGTATTTGGTCTTTTGTGAAAATGTTGATAGTTTTTCGGTCCTTTGCATCTTTTTAGAGGACATTTATTCATCAGAGGAAATTGTGGACCACCAGCCGGTGACAGTGAGAGTGATGGACACCTGCGACCAGGTAGGAACATCTCAGTGAGGCAAAGATTACACAAATCCATAAAATACCAGTGATATGTTTGGATTAATATTTATATCAGATGTGTGTGTTGAAGTGGCAATCATCCTTTTGATTATTCTTGGACAGTGATAATCAGTACACTTTTCTTATGTTTGATTTTCTTGTGATGTTTTGACATCTTGATGAGAACACTATGTATTGTTCCATAAATGGACATTTAAACTTTCATTAGCAGCTAACTGTAACACTCATTTCTAGATTAAGCCCCCCCTCTGCTGGTGAAATTGTTGGTGAGACCCTGGCAAAGACAAACCACAGCAAATAAAATAAAAATAAAAAAGGCAGAAAGAAAAATAATCTAATTTCTTTACATTTTTTAACTAAAGAAAAAAAGAGATATGTTTTCATTAACAGGAACAATTGATCCTAGTCATTTTCATTTGTTATTTATTGCAACAGTATTGGGTCAAGCTGCCTCATGGGTCCAAATTCTCAAGCATCAGAGCTTTTCTTACAACACTAATAATTAACAGTAATATTTTATCAAGATTAAAACATAGGATCTTGTCACTGTGCTGCTGGAAACTATAATTAGAAACTTCCCTTTGTAAATCAGGTTCACCTGCAGGATCTGACCGACAGAGCAAGTCAAAGTTCTTCTCTTTAAAATCCAAAGGTTAGATTATTAGGAAAACCTGAACAAATACCTGCTGTTATTGCACATTTTGAAATGTGTTGGCGTGTAGATGGGACAAAATTCAACTTCTTCAACTTCATGTTCTCTGAGGCAGAATTTCAAAGTAGTAAAAGTTTTGCTGTCCGAGCTTTTCTTTACACACAAATCATAAAATATTTCAGCGTGGCCCAAAACAGCAGTTAAAGTACATTTATATATGTGTTTTATTTTATGAATGTCAAAAAGAGTTTTTATTTTATTTTATTTTTTAGTGACCAAAAAGCCCAGAAAGCATTCGGATGATAATAAATCCTTTGGAGTCTTTATTTCTTGGACTGGACCATGATTTTTCATTGCCACTTTCTCTCTCTCGCTCTGTGTGTGTGTGTGTGTGTGTGTGTGTGTGTGTGTGTGTGTGNGTGTGTGTGTGTGTGTGTGTGTGTGTGTGTGTGCAGGAGGGCCCAGTGAATTGTGAGCGGTATCTGTCCTGGGCCAATGCTTTCCTTGTGGTCTACAGCATCAATGTCATGGAGAGCTTCAGAGGCTGTCAGCTCTACCTGAAGACACTTTCTCTGCACAACAAAACCTTCAGTCCACAAACTCCCATCATCCTGCTGGGCAACAAGCTGGACATGGACAGATACAGGCTGGTATCCCCTGTGTAGGTCTGGGTAGATGAGTGTATTTTTTATTATCAGTTAGTGTTTGTTGTGTTCTTCTGGATACAGAGTTTATTTTCAGGGTTCAGGACAAACTGTTAATAAAAAGAAAAAAAGAGGAGCACAAACTCCATCTAGACTACACTAAATGGTTCAAAAACTGAAATTTTCTGCTCTGTTTGCATCTCCTAACCCAGTGTCCAACACATTTCCACTGCGGGCCACATTATAAAATGGTGGCCCTCAAAGGGCCAGTTGTAATTAACTTCGATGTTTAACTTTGACTAAACACAAAACATCACATTCCTCATCTCCTCTGTGGCTGAGCACTGCTAATAAGCAATAATCGAGCTCTACCTGGTATTTCCTGCATAGAAACAGTGTTTTAACCCGTCCTCTTATAAACACTGAAAGTATTACATGACTAAATGTGAAATAAATCAAACAGGAAAAGTGTTAAAAGTAAAAGTAAGAGTTTTACTCACTGTTGAGTTCTAGCAGAAAGCAGCTGTCTTAAATTCTGAACTGTCCAACTTTCCATTGGAGAATTTCCACTGGAGGGGGCATTCCAGTTTAAATTTATGATTTGTAATTGGGGAATTCTCACTTCCCATTCAACTGGGCAGCTGGCAAAAGTAAAAGTAGCAATGAATTTAGCCAGTTGTTGGCTAACTTTAGCCCAGTGCAGCTCCACCTCGTGGAGTGCCATCATTTTGTGAGTAAAATAATCAAAATGCATTATGGGAGATGTAGTATATGGTTATTACTGACTTTCAATCAGCATTAGCTTATTTTAAGACATTCACACACTTTTAAGCTCTCGCACATAAAATGTCGTCGGAGGCCACATTTGGCCCACGGGCCTTGAGCTTGACACGTGTCCCCACCGAAAAAAATTTTTTTGGTGAAAAAAAGAAAATTTCTGTTTTGTTGTATCCATTGAGACATGAAGCTTTTGAGAAACAATTAAATTTGACACAGGCCCACTCCCATGTGCCCGAGAAACCAAAACAACATCTAAATGGAATTTAAAGACCATTAAACTTTAAATTTGTGCTGAAAAAAATCAAGAGTTAACTGGAAACAGGGGCATATTTCCTAATGTACAGGGTGGGTTTCATTTCAGCTTGAAACAGAGGTAATTATCACAGTGGGGCAAGAAAACACGCCAACCTCTTTGAATATTGCTTGTCAAACAAAAAAAAAGCAAGTGCTCAGCCATGTTTATTCATCCTCCTCGCCATCAAATTAAAATTTCCTCTGCCTGATGAGATGAAATTGATTCAAGCCTCTTTAGGAAGTGACAGATCTCTGATAAACGCTGCATCAAATCAATGAGTGTTTAAATAGATTGCGAGGCTGAGGCCGTCTGTCTGAATGCTGATGTTGAACAGGAAGTGGATCCCCAACAGAAACCGCCAAAAGCAAAATGGTGTGAGCCTTCTTCTGGTCCATTTTATTAAACTCAAAAACAAAATAAAAGAAATAGCCACAAACTCTTAGGAACACTTGTGTGTCCTTTTCAGACAGGTGAGCCAGTGTGACGGGGAGGCCTTGGCCGCTCATTTCGGCTGTTTATTCTTTGAGGTGTCGGCCTGCAGGGACTTCCACTCCGTGCAGCACGTTTTCCACGAGGCGGTGAGGAGGGCGAAGAGGGACGGCGGCGGCGGCGGCGGCGAGCGTGTCAGTTTGATCCGTCCCGTCTACGTCAGCGAGGACAAAGCGCTGCTCAGCGTCCCCTCCTTCACAACCCCGTGCTACAAGGAGCTGCCGGCCCCCGCCACTGCCAAGCTGGTCACCGTGAAGACGTCCAGGGCCCAGAGCAAACGGAGAGCCCCCACCCTCACCTTGCTCAAAGGCTTCAAGATCTTCTGACGCTTTCTGGACCCTGACCTTGTGTTTCCAGTCCCTCAACTGTTACGAGTGAGACTTGACTCAACCCTCTGTGGCAGAGGGGAGGATGAGCTGGAGCACATCAGAAAAACGGACTGAAAATGCTCCTCTGCATGTGTGAGCGCCTGTTCTATGTTTGTTACTTCATGTGTCACAAACATAAAATGAGAAATACATTTTTTAAATAAAGGAAGATGTCAGATATGGAAGCAATTGTGTTCCATAATCCTAATTAAAATGGATTAATAGAAATGCTGTTTCATTTTCAACATGTACCTGATTTTTTTGACTCATAAGTAAAATTATAAATACATAATCCAAACTGTATGTTCATTTTCTTCTCCAAGACTGCTCAAAGTGTAAATTAATTAAAATGTTAAATAAAACAAACTTTGACATTTAATTTTCAAAATATGTCCTGGTAAAAAGTGACCAAAATTCATTTTGAGACAGCTTAGATGGGGGACAATCTACTGAACACTTACAAAACATGACTGCAAATCTCTTTTTCTGCTACTTCAACATAACATAACAAACAAACAACTTGATAATGCGTGATTTAGTCAACATCTTCACATGCAGAACATTGTGAAGTCAACTGAAACTTCTGCATTTTAAGAGTTCGTTGTGAGCATACCTCTGTTATGAATACATCTTTATCAATGTCCAAATGAAAATAAAGAAAACAGAAGCAGATAAAGAAAATTATATTTACAGCTTAGTCTTATTCTGAATAAATGAGAAGAATAGGTGGTGTACCAACATTGTCGTCAAGAAAAGAAAAGATTAGACTGCGGTATTAAAAAAAATATCAGTTTTATTTGAATGCACCCACATTTCCAAGTATTATAAATAAAGTTAGACTTCTCCAACAAAGCAATCTGCTAAAAAAGGAATAAATAAATTGAGCGAGTTATGATGACTTTCAGCGTGGGCAGTGATAAAGTATGCACCACCAGCCTGCTGCAGTCTGGTTTGTATCAAATTGTTTTCACTGTATACTTTAAATAAATGAGTCAGAATTTATAATTGTATTTTTGTACCACACATATTTATACATAGCACTAATAATGAAACCTGTTGTTTTTTTCTTCATTATTTCTTGACCCTGTGTTTGTTGGGTACTCATGTTCTTTGGCAGCCACCGTGGGGTGCTGCAGTACTTTCCGCACCCCTAGTTCCCTTGGTTACAAATAAAGTCGTTGACTCATACTTTGTTTTATGTTGGCTTCTTAATAAGTGGCTGTAAAAGGTGCTGCCATAACATCAAGAGAAATGAAGAAACAGCGCTTAAAGGCCGACACCTACTGTTACAGTCCCAAGTGCTCTCAAAGTGTGATGACTGTAGTAGAGTATGATGGTTATGTTATTTCAAAGTCAGGCCAAAAAAAAGATATAACCACCCAGGTATGGAAACACCCCCAATGACACAGCCAATGATTGCCAAAGGCTGATGATGTCAAATAAGGAATGCAGCACAGGCAGAACAGTGTGCTTGTGTCGCGAGTGAGGATGTTTTAAGTGGAGGAAGTTTCAGGGATTTAGAGGATGATTTATCTACAAGCAATGGAAAACAAAGTAGAGCTGTGAAATTACTGATCCATCCATGTATGAGCCAGCACAACAGCACAATGAGGCCTCACCAGAAGAAGATCAGTCATGAAAGGACCGTCTCAGCTTGAAATCAACTGGCATGCACTAGTATTTACAATAAAATAATACTATTTTTATAAAAAAAATAATCTGATTGTAAGCACTGTTTGCTAATAAACCCTCTGATGAACTGATAAATGTGAAATTTGTCAGTCAGTTCTACCGTCTGACCCAGAACAGAAACTCTCTTTGGACCTGTTGACACTAAAAGACAGCCAGTCTGTAAGCAATATCAAAACAGACATCTGATGTTAGGGATCTATCTGATGATAAATTACAAGAAGAAACAACACATAAATGTGATGAAATGATTTTTTTAATGCACTGTATTAGTAAACATTAATAAGACACACCCTAAATGGAAACTCGTCATTAAAACGACAGTAACATGCATTGATTGTACAGAAGATAAAGATTTTGCTAAAAAAAGATCATTTCATTCCAGATGTTTGTTAATGATTATTATCATGTACAAGAACATTACAGTCCATCAAACCTGAAGTAAAACAAACTTTATAAATGGTGAAAAGCTGCTCCTGCTGCTGATCAATCTGTGGTCTTCACTTCATCACAAGCCTCGTGCTCCACAGCTGGCACCTCCTCCTCCTGTTTCTCCTCCACAGGAGGATCTGAGTACAGGCAGGAGGTGTTGCCGTCTTTCCACGTGACCACGATGTCTCCTGCTGCCAGCGTGCCGGCGTCGCCCTCGATGATGGGGTACTTGTGTTCTTGCAGCAGCCCATCGTGCACGTTGTCTTTGTGAGGTGAAAGGACCTGCTGCTCCTCACCTTCACTCCTCCTAACCAGTGATGCAGCTGCTTTGTATTTCGCTATCTTTTTTCTGCTCCTGCAGGCAAAAAAAGACAGGCAACCTTTAGAGTTGCATTTGATACGTTCATTTACAGACAGATAATTGTTTAACTTCATACTTATTGGCCACCGCTCCCATTCCTAACAGCAGAAACCCAATGAGCAGACAGATGAAGGCCACGCCCAGAAGCACAAACGTCCACGTGGTGGCTGCAACAACAACACAACACATTGTAATATTGTTTTTTTTTCTTACAATTGTAATTTCCTCTTCARTGTTAGGGGCAGTGCGTAATAATGAATCAAAAAGCAATAGAGAAATAGCCTTTTAGCTTTCTGTACTTTGAGTCCATGTCACCCTAAAATACTACAAAAAAGGCAAACCTAAAAAAAGGTTTCATTATGTTTGTTGGTAAAACTTAACAACAAATTTTCAGCATAAAAAAATAAAGTTTTAGATGTTTCAGTGAGTTGGCTGATAATTTTTAAAAAACAGAGCACCACAAAAATAAATATTTGAGTACATTGAAAAAAACATTTATGACATCATTCAGCAACTCAAAATATTAAAATTGTACAACAAGAAAAGTTATTTTAGGAACTTTAAAAAGAAATGTCATATATTCTAAATAAATGCATGATTCAAAAACAGTTTCTTCCCATGGGTCAAACATGCAATAATTACTTTATTATTAGTTTTGTCTCTGTATAACATGTCTTTCTATGTTCAGTTTCAGGCTTGTGCAATGATAATAATGACTATGCTTTATGTGATGAGTGAGTAGGATATACAGGATTTCAAAAAGAGAAGTTATAGTCACTCAATTAATATAATTTGTCAACTTAAAATGACAAAAAAAATCTAAATTAATATTACATTCCTTCAACTTAATAATGCTTTGGAAGGTCAAAGTAAATCATGTTGGTTTGCTAAACCAGATGAGTTAGCCGAACCTAAAATTATATTTAGGCAATGTTTGTAATTTTAAAAAAAATGAGTGGATTTTTTTAAATTGAGCCAAGTGAATATTTTTAGAGTGTACAGAGTAGGTAAAAAAAGAAATTTTGATGTGTTCACTCATTTTATTCCTTCAAAACTGACTTGATCAAATGTATTTATATTCTGGTTTATTATTATTAATACAAATTGTTGCTCACAAAATGAGTAAGCTTTTTTTGTTTTATTCTGTTAATTGAAGATTTATTGACAATATACTGATTTTAACCATTTTTTTGATTATCACTGTTGAATTTAATGTTATTTTTGAAAATGGGGGCAGATAAGATTTTTTTCTTCTTCTGCTACCTTTCCTTTCATTTGATTATATTTTATTTCATTTTGTTACAATTTTTGTTTTTTGAATGTATTTTGTGTGTTTTAAATGAAATAAAATGAATAAGCTACACTAAACTAAAAAACTTAACTGTAGAAAATCTTGATGAGTCAGTCAAAACAAAACAATTCTGATTTTTTTGTCATTAAAACACRTTAACAACAGAAATGTTCCACAAACATGAATCTTAAAAAAGCTGCTATCAGAAAACATATTTGCCTTCAAAAGAAAGCATCTTACCAGTGAATCCTCAATTTGACCTTTTCATGTTAAACATGTGTTTTTTATGTCAACTCCTTCAAAAAAGCCTGTTTTGTCAAACCAACCAGCAACTGCACCTTACTTCCAGTCTCCAGCAGGAAAATCATGAAACTATTATAGTTTGGTTCATCACAATAAGTTTTTTTTTTAATCAGATTTTGGATAGGTTTAAATCATTCATCTTTTCTTTGAATTGTAAGGGTCACCTCGATTGAAGAAACAAGATTTACTGCCTCGAAGCAGGCCTTGGACAGGCCTGACGAGGGGACAGGAACTCTGTCACAAACTGAACTCTATTTAGGCCATGACAGGTCATTCCAACCGTAGAGGAGAACTCCTCAGTTCTCTTAATCAGATAATGGACAGAACAATCTCTTCTGTTCGTGATTCATTTGTTGTTTAACTAAGAATGTTTATGCATTTGTTAAATCATGATAATGACTGTCACAGGAAAAGTGGAACCAATTCTTTTCTTTTATCGTGCCTTAAAGATTAATAATGGTATAAAAATCATAGAGAATCTGATTACAATGTTTTCATTGTGTTTTTATGTAAATCACTGTTTTTATTTTACTGTGAACACAGTAATATAATTGTGGATTTTTCCTGAGAAAATCTTTCATTTACATGGACTAACAGAAGGTTCAGAACTAATTATAAAACAGAAATGTTAATTAAYCATCATAAATGTTTTGCAGTGATTTCTCTTAGTCTATCAGAAGGAAGCTGAAAAGAGTTTATCATATCCTGTTGTTGAACAGCCACAGAATTTTAACCTTGGGCTGGCGCTGGCTGGCAAATCTTTATCTTTCTTTCTCTGACTCATCTCTAAGCCTGAGGGCGGAACCAAAGTTCGTCCGTTTCTTTTACTAACCCGGACGGCTTTGAGCGGCACACTCTTCTTCCTGATTCCAACCGAGGAAGTCAGCTGGAATTCTCCCTGGAGAAAACCCAGTTTGGCTTTAAATCTGATCCCATGAGCTAACCAGGGAAGACTTCACAGCTAGGGACCCGGCACGCCTGCCGATGGTACCAAATTGAGGCTTCGAGCCTCTGAGTGTTTTTAACTCCCGAGGGGAGATTTTATTTTGGAAAGAGGAACCGGATACAGCTTGAATTTTTCTGGCTTGGACTGAAACAGACGCAAGTTACCTGTAAAGACACCTGTTCGCCAATGACCGGTAAGCGAGCCGACATCAGTTCCCTGACTGATCGGAGGCGAGCCAGCTCCTACCCCGAGTGTGCCTTAAGAAGACATCATCAGGTAAAGCTGATGTGTTCGGAGTGACGTGTCATGTGGCACGTGTCAACCTGAGCTTAGAAAAGACGTGCAGTTCCAGTTGACCCACACTTTGGTAAAAGTAAAAGTCATGGTAACATACTAATCTTACTTCCCTCCTTTCCTTGTTYTTAATTTGCCAAAACTTAAGCTAAAAGTGCCAGTAAAATTGTTTGGTTGTTRACATCAGAACTGACGTTTTACTGTTCTATATAAGTAATCTGAGTTGATGTGAATTGAAATTCGGACGTGGGTTTTATCTTATTCAACTCTGACGCTTGTCATAGGAATAACCACAATCAGGTGTAACTTATGATCTGTTCAATTTGTGTAAATAAATGATTGCATAGTCTTTTATGAATCAACTTGAACTCGTCTGAACGTTCACTTATTGGGTCACTTTTCACTTCGCACAGTCAAGATATTAACAAGTAATGAGAAATACCTTGGTAAAAGTTTCCTCATAACCTTGTGTATGAGAGATGTGGGAAAAGCTTAATTCACCTTAAGCTCACTCCTACAGAATTTTACATATTTTGAGTCACAGCGGTACTCACAGTCCTCTGTGCGGTAATACCAGAGGAGATACTCTCTCTGTTCCTTCGTCATGAGTGCCAGGTCTCCTGCAGGCTCCTCGGTCTCCTCAAATGGGTCATCGGAGGCCCTCTTGAGTCCTGAGGAGAAAAACACACCAGATGCCATGAAACAAACTATTCTTACCATTTATCACCAGGCTCAGGCTGCTAGAAAGGTCTCTAAAGGCTTATTATTAGTACACTTTTGTATTAGTAAATGCATTGGAAAATATTTTCATCCATCAATTCATCTATTATCTGCTTCTTGTTCTGGAGTCAGGTTGACCATGAAACAAATTACTATTTTTTAAACAAAACTTGGAAATAAAGTAACTTTTAGTCTTGTTCTAGTTCATGTTCTCTCCCAATTGATTTCAGTCACATTTACAAATTTCTCATCAGAGCTGCTAACAGCAAAATAAACCTGTTTTCGAGAAATAAGCTCCATAGAACTGACAAATTTGCTAATATGGGTAAAATACAGTGTATAGTTTAGTCAACATGAATATGTGCTGCGAATCTATGAAACATGCCACAGATATCTGCAGAGAGGTCAGATGATCATTGAAGGATCCTAAGCCCTTTTTTCTAAATATTAGATTTGAAGCTTTTCCTCTAAGAATCTTTTCTTCACCTGTAATGGAACACTTTTAAAATCACACAAAAAGGATTAGATGACAAAGTGTGAAAAACTGGACAAATATCCTGAGAGGATGATGCTCTGTTACCTGCTGCTCACTCAATCAGTATCATGGCAACATAATGAAACAGCCACTTTAATCATCGCTCATGTTGATTAATTATCAACAAATGGCTAAGATCATCTGCCTGAGGATAAAAAGTTAATTGGAAACAGGACTTCACAATAAAAGTATTTTTGAACTGCATTGCTGCCACTTTTAGAGAAATAAAAGGACCATTTCTGTCACTTCTTGTCAAACTGAGCTTCAGATGTCATCAAGGGCGTAACTTTAGGTCAACCATTTGGCAGTAGGGGTGGTTATGCTTGCTATCTATTTATGTATTTATTCATTGAATTGTTTACTTTTGTTCAAGGATTCAGGATAATTTGTTGTAAAAAATACATTGTAATGCTTTAACTGTGATTTCATAAACTTTTTAAATTTGTTTGTATTTACCCTGCACCTTTTCTGTTCCATGTCAGTTCAGAAAAGGCTTACATTTTTTTTCTAAGGGTAACAAATATTTAAATTTTTAGGACATATTATGCGATATAACTCGATTTTTTTCAATTTTCCAAGAGTATATACTGTACGTATTTCCCTGGTGCACTACAATTTGGCTAGGAAAACGGACAACACATGCCTCCACAAAAACAGCCACACTGTGACAAGAGCAGACTAAATCCCTGCATGTCGTTTTCAGCAATTAAGCTTAAATCTACAGATATGATATCGTAAATTTTTAAATCAGGTCAGAGTTACCTAAAGACAACAAGAGAGACACAGCTGTGTACGGAACCAGTTAATTTCTATTGTGTTAGAGCAAATTATGTCATTTTATTATTTGTTTGTGTGTGTGGGTGGGGGGGTATGTTGACTGGATCAAATTATTGTGGGGGTCATAACCCCACAACCCCCCCTGAAACTACACCGATGGCTGTTGTGAAAAAAATGCCAAAACTTTAAATTTAAACGGTCCACTTTTGTTCAGCAGTCCTGCAGAGACTTACTGAGCYTGTCCTGGCAGATGTCTCCCTCCTCCACAGATCTCCACTTCGCATGTTTGCTGCTCTTTGCGAGGATCAGACGCAGTCCGTCGGTCGACAGCAGCAACRACGTGCTTCTGCTGATGAGTCTGCCGCCCTCGCAGTCCCACAGTAACCCCGCAGGGTGCTGCACGTCGGACTCAAGGCAGGGCCGGGTGTGGACCGAGTCGCTCTGCTGGGCCGACAAGCATCTGGACGACGCGATGCACATCAGAACGCCCTGACTGACCCAGACCCACTGCTGAAAGCCTGAGTCCAGGTTGCATCTTTTCAAGAGAACTTCACCTGTGTCCTCAGAGTCCTCCAGACACAGGCTGTGCTCTCGGTCGTAGATCATGAACGTCCCTCCCCCTGCAGGAGGGGGAAATGTGGCAACATTAGCTTCAAGGATGCTGATTTATAAACTCAATTCAAACATTTTTTTAAATTTTTTGAAGCTCACCTGAGACGAGGAGGAACAGTAAAATCCAGACACCGATCATGTCTAATGAAGGATAAAGAAGTGTTATTAGAATTTAAAGCGACCAATTTTCATGACGTTTGAAACTTTTAAGTCATTTCAATCTTTTTTTGTTTGGCCACTTATAATTTTATTGTGCAAGCTGACAATTTGGCTTTTCCCTCAGCAGATCCAGCAGAGTCTGACTCTGGCTTTTATCAGTTTCAATTTCTTTTCCCAAACACACTCTATGCTTATTATAAGCTTCAAAATTTGATATAAGAAAGAATCGAGACAACTTTTATTACATGATTTTATCTGTTTAAATCACTGACATGTCTCAGCCCTCAACTGCTCCCACCATAACGGGGCATTTAGAAACAGGATCCTGGGGGTCTTTGTTAAGTCACTTATGTTCCTGAGCTGGCATGTCACTGTTTCTTCACCAAAACAAAGCACAAATACAAAAAGATCAGAATGGAAGGACACCTTACAATTCAAAAGCTTGTCTACCTTTCTCAGAAAAAAAACTCAAAGTGGTTGTTTTCTGTGTGAAAAGGTTTCTCAGGACCTTTACAACAATGCTTCTTTTCATCAAAGTTTGCTGACTTGTGTTTCTGCACAGCTCGTTAAAGGTCCAAACCACAGCATCAGAGTCAGGTTGAGGCCTGGTCATTGATTTGACCATTGCAGCATCTTTATTCATTTTTGGTTTTCAGCCACTTTTGTTGCTAGATTTGGGGCCATTATTCAGTTGTGTCATGATCCGACTTCAGCTGGTGGCCTCTAAATTGCCTCTAGAATACTTTGGTCTACAGAGACATTCATGGCTGACTGCAGGGCGGCTCAGGTCCTGTGTCCAAATCATCACCCCTCAACCACCATGCTTGACAACACATATGAGGTGTTTGTGTAATTAGTTGTGGTTATTTCTTTTGTCAAACCCAGCAGCACTGTGCTTTATGTCTTAACATTTTTTTTGGCTAATGAGCTTTTGAATTTCCCAAACTTTCTTTTGAGGTTGGCAAAAAATGTAACACTTCTATCTGTACTGAATCTGTTATCTTTAAACTGATAAACAAATGTTTGTGAGCTTTTAAGACCCCGTCGCTCTGTAATGTTTTAAACAAATTATGAACATTTTACACATACTGGCTATTTGATTATGCTATTAGCATTCCCGTAGATTTTTTTTCCAATTCCATTTTCAGCTTAGGCATTTTTAGTGTTGGACAAACTTTTCATAAATTTTACAAGTTGTCTAAAACCTTATAGGGTGCTTGTTTGTGAGCTGAGGGTCCTATGTGGGCGGGTGTCCAGAGGATGGCAGTCTAACATCAAGAGTTTCTTCTCAGTTCAGTCGCTGCACTAACCTGACAGAGGGCTTGCAGCAAACAGGCAGCTGAGTGCACACTTTAACTCAAGTTATTCAGACTTTATGTATAATTACAGAAGTAAAACATCTCAAAGAACGGAGAATGAAAGTGCGGCGCTTCTATTTTAACACAGGATTGTCATGACACGATTGACTGAGAATCTGCACTGAAAGATTTACAGAGCCCTTCTACTGCAGGAAGACATTTCGTGTCTTCCTTTCTCGCCAGCAGATGGTTAGGATGAGGAGTTAAAAACCCACGACTAGGTTGACAATTACTCAACATTTACTTAAATCTAGATATTAAAAATATACATTGTTTGAGTTAGTGTCATTTTCACAGCATATAAGTCCACATTCTACATTGCCATTACATTTTGTGAAAAACTTGCCCAACATTTGCATATGTGTGGGTTTTACAGAAACAACAAATGTTTGTTGGACAGTGAAGGTTCTCATCTTGTCTGGCAAATACGCTGAACAAATAAGAGCAATTTTTTTWCTTTTTTTTTTTAAAAAGCAGGAAACCTTGAAGGAAACATTATGTGGACATCTTACCTATAATGACTTTTCTTTAGACATCTGGCAGACAGAAATGTTTAGATCATATTTATGATGACTTTGAAACACAAACTCTTGAGCTCTTTTTTTTAAATCTCACAGGTAAGGGAGAAGCAGCTCATGTAAAAGGTTTAAATAATCTCCAACATGCATCATGCATGGATGAGAATTATAAAGCTTTTGGTGCTGTTGCAGTTGTTTTTTGTGCATTTGTTGTTGTGTGGCTGCATCTGAATAATATGTCCTGAGCAGACGCAAAAGTGTTGAACTCAAAATGATATTAAATAATTAAATAAATAAATTAGCCCACCTGGATGAAACCCAAGCAGTTCCCCCCACCTTTTTTTGCAGCAATGTGAATTACCTCCTTTGTTAAGGTGGCTCTGGTTCATGAGTAATTATCAGAGGGAAAAAGATCAACGGAATAGGCCGTCTAATCTTCAGCCGAGCCCACATTTTGACCCCTCACATCATTCCACACTTTATTCCCATTTTCCAAGACGGGGGGAAAACAAAGCTCAGCACCTGGTGAATCTGAAACAGTTAGAAATGCTAATAAGCAGCAGGTTAACAAGCTGTGACAGAAACAACTTTCCTCTCAGCGGGAACCTCCTGGAAGAGAACAGATGAACACAAACTACAAAACATCACATCAGGCACAGCAAATATTTATCTAGCCCCCTTTTCTGAATCCCATCAGTGCTGCTCTGCTGCTTATTTTCAATTCCTTTGCTCTACTCACTCTGTACTCAGCGGTGCTGCGAGTCTGGCAGAGGTGAGAAGGAGGGAATGGTTAACTGTGCAGCACATAAAGTTAACAACAGAAAAAAATACTTTCCAAAGTTCACAGGGAGGAGTCAGTCTGCACATCAGTACCTCACTTCCTTGTCTCTTTTGAAAAGTGTGTGTAAAAACTCGTAACCGCTTTATTGTTGCAGAACCTTCAGAAAGTTTCACTGAATCTAGATCTTTAATTGACAACCTGCTGGAGTTAATCTAATTCAGCGTAGCCGGCACAGCGAAGCAAAACTCAAACTATAACTCACTCAGTTTAACAGATGTTGACTTAAAATGAGTAACTGAATGCATCTGGTCTTTAAAAATATATATATAATTATTTGCTGGAGTCAGCTTCGTCTGTCTGTTAGCAAAATGTCTCATCTTTATACACACATCTACAACTTAAGATAAGGTGGAAACTGACTTTATTAAACATAAAAACAGATTTACAGACACTGAGCTAAAGTTCAGCAGGGCATGCAGCTGAAATGTACTCCCAACACATTCTCTGAACATTGCACTTTGTGTGAGGTCTTTCCTTAAAACTATACATCAACTCTTGGACTCAGCTTTGTTTGTCTGTTAGCAAAATATCTTACTGGCACTTAACTCCTGATTCCAGACAGCCACCACAACTAAACCGCCTTAGCTAACAGAAAAAATACACAGAAATTTGTCACATTTGCAAATTTGGAGCTAAAGTTTGATTTGGTAGCTGAGAGTCATTCATCTCCCACTCAAAAAAACAAAAACAAAAAAAAAAAAACAGATGTGGTGGATTTACTTAAATTATGTCAATGAGTTCCATCCAACTGAACTGATGTAATGCATTTACTTCACATTTACTTTGAACGTAAATATAAAAAATTGCTTAATGTTACAGTTGACATAATTTGTTTGAGAAAATCCAACATCAGTTTTTCGAGTGTGCACTCTGAGCTCTAACATTCTGAGTGACATCACTGAAGTTTTTTATGCGATTGTATACAACATCATTTTAAAGGCTTGACTATGATGACAAGATAAAGGGATCTTAATCTAAAACTCTGGTGTGAAAGGTAGMAGGTCATGCACTCAGAAAAACATATTTAGTGGTTTATTTAAAAACATTTTCTTAACTGGTTCCACTCAAATAAACTGAGTAAAAGTAACACATTTACTTTATATTTTCTTTAAGTAAATGTGATATATTTACTCAATTCAATCAAGTGGAACCAGATGACATATTTTTTAAAATTAAATCCATTAAATATGTTTTTTGAGTGTTTTATTTTTGTGCATTTTATTTACAACAAAAAAAAATCTACAAGTTGATGCAAAATTTTTTTTGTCTCTGGGGTTTGAAGTTTTTGTGGAGTAGGCTTACTGTTGATTTCAATCAATCGTTTCATCAACTGAAATAAAACAATCATTATTTTTCATTTTGTTTGTGTTGTCTGTTCCCCAGACCTCTACACTCCGTCTTTCTGTTCATTGAATTCACATGTAATGAAACGAACAGTCGTGAATAAACAAGAGCTGCCTCGACTCAAGCGGTCACTGAGTTGTGAATAATACGCAGACGTGTAATTAAACTGAATCTGGCTCTCGCTAAGTCACGGCAGAGCTTTTAAAAGCAGGCAGAGTCAGCTCCATTAACGGGTCTTTGACCTTGTTATGTGGTTACTGTTTAGACAGCCTCGTAGTTACCTTGGCTTCTTCTGTTTGTCGAGGTAGGTGACTCATCGGTCAAACGCCTGCCTGAATGGGGGAGAAAAAACAACTAAAAACGCTGCGACATTCGACTGTTAAAGAGTTTAATCTTTATTGCAGGGTGTGAAGACAAGTTTTATTGTTTCAGGAAAAGAAAGGAAAAGTACACCATTTTATTTATAAGTATAAGTACGACAAACAGATAAGCCATGACACCTGAATTATGCAGATGTGGCGCTGCGATATGAAAGCCCTGAGCAGAGATCAGTGCACCTCCCATGGGCCCCCAAGAGTTACTGCACTGGTGACGCTTTGGCTGACTATTTGTCTGATGCAACCCTGTGGACTTATTAAAAGTGTAAAATTTTCAGCTCCCCAGGATGTCCATAAATAAGACAGAAGATGCTGAGTGTTTACATGAATGGGTAAAAAAAAAAAAAAAAAAACGCAGTAAAGGACAGAACAAGATTTAGTAAGCCATGTGCCAAACTCAAGGCCTGCAGGCCAAATGTGGCCTGTGCGTGATTACGTCTGGTCTGCCAAAGGAAAAAAAACCTTTTTTAATTCATAATTTAATATGAAATTCGTTTTTATATCAATTATAAACTCTAAATTTATGATAAAAAATTAAAAGGTGAAAGATAGTAATAATAGTAGCTGTTGGCTTTAAGTATCTGTGGTCCTCAGAGCAATTTTCTTGAATATCCCTGTAAAAATGTCTTAAATTAAGCTGCTTTGAAGCCAGCATTGACCATAAACTACATCTCCCCATAATGCATGTTGATTATTCATGGGAATTCCCTGTTGGAAAGTGGGAGAGTTTAAAACTCTTTTACTTTTATTTTTAATAGTATTTCTGTATTATTTATTTCACATTTAGCCAGTCATACAGGTATCTCTCAGTGTTTATAAGAGGACATGTTAAAACTGTTTTTATGCAGGAAATATCAGGTAGAGCTCAGTTATTGTTTGTTAGCGGTGCTCAGCCATAGCAWTGAGACGAGGAGTGTGATGTTTCGTGTTTAGTCGAAGTTAAACATGCATAAATGCTAATTACAACTGGCACTTTGAAGGCAACCATAATGCTTATGTGGCCCTCAGTTAAAAGTATTCATATTTGAAATATTTCTGATGGACTGAGAATTTTATACAGTATATGTTTAATAAGAGAGTTCAGATTGATATAACTTACATAACAGTCTTGTGTAGACATTTATGTGAGGGGAATTTGGATGTTGCTTGCAAGAGTTTTCTCTGGTTACACCCCTGACTTCTTCCTTCAGAGCCAAAACATTCACTTGCACTGACAGCAGGTGAGATGTGAGATGTAAGTGTACACAGTTTGTCTTGCATCTCTGTGATGAACTGGCTGGCTGCTGTGCAAATTAAATCACAAATTCTCAGCCCATCGACGAAGTTCAGACAACAAGACAGCAAAATCAGCRTGTAACATTTACAGCTTTAGAGCAAATTGATTCAAAGTTGTCTGTGAAGATTGTAGAAACTGGAAGAGTGACCCAGGAGAACATACCTTCAAGGGCTTTTTGCCCACTTTGCATTCCAGTAGCATCTGCTGCTGGGATGATGGGGTGACACTGTAGAACGATGGTTCTTTAGATGTTAGATAAGTTAAAATATGTCTTTTTTTTAAAAAAAAAAATCTCTATTAAACAGAAATCCTTTACTGACAATCCATCCAGTGTGTTTAAGATTTCAGAGGAAAATGCCAAAAAAAAAAAAAAAAAAAAMTTSMAARAMAAATTTAAGATCTCTAAGGAAAAAAAGAAAACTTAAGATGAAGATGTTTTTTCCTCGTTCTCCAGTTTCAAAATGTTCATAATAAAGGTGAATTACTAACCTGGCCCTTGCCTTCCTATGCAGCTCTGCTCAGTTCAAGTTTCTCTTCACTGCTCCTTGTACAAAGCAAAGTGAAGGACAGGGTCTGGTTTGAACCAGGCTAGTGAATTACTGGTTTTAAGAACTTTAGTCAAAAATAATGAGAAGTTTTTTACCGGTTGTATACAGCTTCAGTTACATGTACGAAGCAATGTCTTACGATGACTAATACAGGGCTATTCAACTAGCGGCCCACAGSCCACATCAGGCCCACTAGTGACCAAAGTTTGGCCCGACAATTGGTTCATTCACCTCTTAAGCCCCAACCCCCAATTTCAATTTTCTGCTTTAATTCTTAAAAGTTCTTTTAGTTAGACATAGACATGTGTTTACAGAAATGTCAGAAGCTTGGCTACAAGATGGTAAAAAACATTTTTATGAACACCCAAGATAGTTAAGCAGTTGAAGATAAAACTATGAAAGTGAAAATAAAGTTGGTTTAATAATTTGGCAAGTCAGAGATGTCAAAATAATCTTCATGTTAAATATGAGGCATAATGTGTTTTTTTATATTGTTTGATTATCACTACTTTTATCATAGGATTCTGTATGTTGTATTCATGATTAAATGCAGCAAAATAAACAATTTCAAAGGTAACAGATCTTTGTAATACTTGATTTATTTCCATAATGACTTTAATTGCTGGATGTTTGGCCCCTGAGCTATTGGCCTGCATTAACTGTGGACCCCGTCGTAATTTAGCTGAGTAGCCCTGGACTAATCCTTTTTACTTTGTTCTTATGTACTTAAAGGGAAATAATGTCACTATTGAAAACTTATTTAGATGTATAATGAAGTTCATTCACATRAGATTGTAGGGTTTTGTCCAAATGCTGGTTCCATTCATTATTCCACTTAGTGATGTTCAGATTAAAACTAAAATATTGATACCAATAAGAACTTAATGCTCTAAATATCAATTTTTAAATCAAACTATGGATACTTTAATACTTCAGTTTTTTTATTTATTAATTTTTTTGAACTAGGAAGACACAATTTACTTAATAAAGATCTACAAAAACCAAATCAAAAACCAAAAAAATTGCTTTTGATACTTCTTTTTAAGTACTACTACTTCTTTTTATAAAGCACTTTAAAACAACAAGTTTGTATATCAACAACTAATGTACATTATTAATGGGAGCAAAGTGGACAAAAAACTAAACTACTGAAATCTTTCTAAATCATATGCAGTTGGTAGGTTTTTCCGTTGTTGTATTTGATCAACTATATTCTAAATGAGGATGTTAAATCAATAAACTTCTAAGTTTAAAATGGATGAATAAATTACTCTGATGTCTTGTACTTTTTAATCAAGCAGTGATTCTAAATCTAGTAGTTTTTATTTAGATTTATCAGACACATTATGTGTACTTGCACAGAGTATCAGTATGAGGTCAGTATCACAAATACCAGCCTG